TTAAGGTCAGCAAAGAATTGTGCTGGGATTTTGATGAATACTGCATTGAATTTGTAGATTGTTTTTATAAGATTGCCATTTTTACTATCCATGAGCATGGGAGGTCTTTCCAAATTCTGATGTCCTCTTCAATTTCGTTCTTCAAAGAATAAAAGTTCTAGTCATACAGGTCTTTCACTTGTTTGGTTAGAGTTACCCCAAGATATTTTATGTTGTTTGTGGCTTTGTGAAGGGTGATGTTGCTCTGATTTCTTTCTCGGCCTGTTTATTATCTGTATACAGGAGGGCTACATTTTGTTTTAGTTAATCTTGCATCCTGTCATATTACTGAAGGAGTTCCCTGGTAGAATTTTTGGGGTCATATTTCTATACTATCATATCACCAGCAAATAGCAAAAGTTTGACCTCTTCCTTTTCAATTTGTATCCCTTTGATCTCCTTTTGTTGTCTTGTTGCTCCAGCTAGAACTTCGAGTACTATATTGAATAGATATGGAGAGAGTGGACATATAAGGAAAATATTTAATGAGGGGGGCTCACCTACAGTTTTAGAGGTTCAGTCCAATATCATCATAGCGGGAAACATGGCGGCAGGCAAGCAGATGTGGTACTGAAGAAACAGCCAAGAGTCCTACATCCTTTTTTATACATTTTTTATTGATATTTATTGAACTCTACATTTTTCTCTGCTCCCCTCCCTGCCTCTCCCCTCCCCCCTTCAACCTTCCCCCAAGGTCTCCATGATCCCAATTTGCTCAGGAGATCTTGTCTTTTTCTACTTTCTACTTCCCATGTAGATTAGATCTATGTAAGTCTCTCTTAGTGTCCGCATTGTTGTCTAAGTTCTCTGGGATCGTGGTTTGTAGGCTGGCTTTCTTTGCTTTATGTTTAAAAACCACCTATGAGTGAGTACATGTGATAATTGTCTTTCTGTGTCTGGGTTACCTCACTCAAAATAATGTTTTCTAGCTCCATCCATTTTCCTAAAAAATTCAAGCTGTCATTTTTTTTCTGCTGTGTAGTACTCCATTGTGTAAATGTACCACATTTTCTTTATCCATTCTTCAATCGAGGGGCATTTAGGTTGTTTCCAGGTTCTGGCTATGACAAACAAAGCTGCTATGAACATAGTTGAGCACATGTCCTTGTGGTACAATTGAGCATCCTTTGGATAGATACCCAAAAGTGGTATTACTGGGTCTTGAGGAAGGTTGTTTCCTAATTTTCTGAGAAATCACCACACTGACATCCAGTGGGGTTGTACCAGCTTACATTCCCACCAGCAATGCTTTAGTGTTCCCTTTACCCCACAACCTCTCAAGCATAAGTTGTCATCAGTGTTTTTGATCTTGGCCATTCTTACAGGTGTTAGATGAAATCTCAGAGTTGTTTTGATTTGCATTTCTCTGATGACTAAGGATGTTAAACATTTCCTTAAGTGTCTTTCAGCCATTTTAGATTCCTCTGTTGAGGGTTCTCTATTTAGGTCTGTACTCCATTTTTATTGGATTATATGATCTTTTGGTGTCCAATTTCTTGAGTTCTTTGTATATTTTGGAGATCAGACCTCTGTCTGATGTGGGGTTAGTGAAGATCTTTTCCCATTTTGTAGGCTGTCTTTTTGTCTTGTTGACCGTGCCCTTTGCTTTACAGAAGCTTTTCAGTTTCAGGAGGTCCCGTGTATTAGTTGTTTCTCTTAGTGTCTATGCTACTGGGGTTATAGTTAGGAAGTGATTTCCTGTGCCAATGCGTTCAAGTGTACTTCTCACTTTCTCTTCTATAAGGTTCAGTGTGGCTGGATTTATGTTGAGGTCTTTGATCCATTTGGACTTGAGTTTTGTGCATGGTGATAGGTATGGGTCTATTTTCAGTCTTCTACATGTTGATATCCAGTTATGCCAACACCACTTGTTAAATATGTTTTCTTTTTTCCATTTGATATTTTTGCTTCTTTATCAAAGATCAGGTGTTTGAAGATGTGTGGATTGGCTGGGCGGTGGTGGCGCATGCCTTTAATCCCAGCACTCGGGAGGCAGAGGCAGGCGGATCTCTGTGAGTTCGAGACCAGCCTGGTCTACAGAGCTAGTTCCAGGACAGGCTCCAAAGCCACAGAGAAACCCTGTCTCAAAAAACCAAAAAAAAAAAATGTGTGGATTGATACCTGGGTCTTCTATTTGGTTCTATTGGTCCTCCTGTCTGTTCTTATACCAATACCAGGCTGTTTTCAGGACTGTAGCTCTGTAGCAGAGTTTGAAGTCAGGGACTGTGATGCCTCCAGAAGTTCTTTTATTGTACAGGATGAGTCTTACATTTTGAAGGCAAGGGGAAGTCACCTAAGACACAAGGTGGTACCCTGAGAATAGGAAACTTCAAAGTCCATCCCCACAATGACATACTTCCTCCAACAAGGCCACACCAACCCACTCCAACAAAGTCACACACCTTCTAATAGTGTCACTCCCTGTGAGATTATGGGGGCTAATTACATTCAAACTACCACAGTTCTCCAGCACCATATCTGTCTGCATGCTGCCATTCACCCAGCTGCCTTGCGCCCCATCATGATGTTACTGGACTAAACTTTTGAAACCATAAGCCGCCACCTCAATTAAATGTTTCCTTCATAAGAGTTGCCATGGTCCAGCAGGGCAGTGGTGGTGCATGCCTTTAATCCTGGCACTCCGGAGGCAGAGGCAGGCGAATCTCTGTGAGTTCGAGGCCAGCCGGGTCTACAGAGCGAGTGTCTCAAAAAACAAAAACAAAACAAAACAAGAGTTGCCATGGTGACGGCATCTCTTCACAGCAAATAGAAACTCTAACTAAGACAGGTGATATCTGTTCTGGGGGAAGTTCGGCCCCAAGCCCCCTCCCCCATCTCTTTCCAAACCCTGCCATATCTCAGAAAGCCTGCCAAATGGTGACCACTCCCCCAGAGATGCTCAAGATCACTCCCACAGTGTATTTAAACTGCCCACCAGAAAACAGACATGTGATTTTTCCGGTCTCTCTTTCCCGTCTCCTATGGGGGGGGGGGCGCTGGAAAATCATCTGGGAGCATTTTACACATTAAACCTGGCCTTTTTCTAATTTGGTTTGATTTGGTCTGATTTGGATTGCTGTGTCTATTGTGGGATCTCCTTATCTGGGATAAGGAGATATGTATGTACTGAAGGGAATTTAGCCCACTCCAGCGTGTGGCTCTGGCAGCCCTTGCCCTTCCTCCCCTTCCCCCTGCCTTGCTAATAAAAACCATTAGATTACATTCCTAAAGCTAGCCATCAATGTCTAGTCCCTTACTTGGCCAATGCTTCCTCTTGAGACTGACTACCAAGGTCCAGCTATCAAAGTACTGAAGTCCAGCACTCAAAAGCCCCCTTTGGTTCATCAAATTAATATCCCCAATCAAAATTATAGTACCAAGTGCTAGCGCATTCTAACGTGGACCTCCCTTTTGTCTCCTCTTAAAATTACACCTGCAAGGTTATTTGGGGCTGTTTTTCTGCCCGAGTCTGAAAGCAGCCACTTTTAATTTGTGTTCCCTGTTTAATACCGAATCTCTGTGAAACAGGTGTTTGGATGTGGTTTCTGTCTAGCTGGGGGTCTGAGGGGGAGCCCTGCTGTATAAGGGGGTAGATACAAACAGAACTACCAAAGCCCCCAAGTGATAACACCCCCTTCTGTCTTGACAGCCTTCCTGTGGTGTGGGAGAAACAGAAACAGTTTGTCATCCTGCTTGAGCAGCCTGCTCTAATCCCGTCTTTCCCGTCTGCATTAGACCCTGAATTGTGCAATCTCAGCTAGGCGTAGCCATTAAAGTGCCACATGGGCAGCATCCGTCAGTCTGGAGGTCAGAAAACCCTGTAGTTTCCAAAGGTGATTTCTCAACTTGGGATCTGATTTCGGGGAAGAGTATTTAAAGGAGTCCACAAAGAAAAATGGGTAATTGACTAAGAGAAAATGGTGACGCCAATGAAGGGAAAAGCCTTAGCTGCCAGTACATGCCAAGCCGTCTGTTCCCACAGCTTCACCAGAGTTCAGCGCAACGTGTGGGCAGCGAACTCTCAATAGACATCGGCTCTCTTTTAATGTTCAGTTTGTTGGTTTTTCTTTGTTTTTTTTGTTTTTGTTTTTGTTTTTTCTAGACAGGTTTCTCTCTGTAGCCCTTGTTGTCCTTGTACTCACTTTGTAGACCAGGCTGACCTCAAACTCACAGAGATCCACCTGTTTCTGCCTCCCGAGTGCTGGGAATAAAGTGTGAGCCACTACTGACTGGCTCGGCTCTTTTTTTGTTTGTTTGTTTGTTTGTTTGTTTGTTTGTTTGAGACAGGGTTTCTCTATATTATAGCTTTAGTGCCTGTCCTGGAACTTGCTCTGTAGCCTAGGCTGGCCTCAAACTCACAGAGACCCATCTCACAGAGATCCACCTGTCTCTGCCTTCCAAGTCCTGGAATTAAAGGCGTGTGCCACTACAACCGGGCTTTTTTTGTTGTTATTGTTTTGGTTCTTTTCTTTACAATTATTTTGTGCTTGCACACAGGAAGAATTCAGAGAACTTCTTTTGGGAGTCAGTTTTCTCCTTCAAGGTCATCCTTGGCTGTCTGGGCTTCGTGACAAACTCTTTCAAAAATAGAATCAAGGGATAAAGACGTGGCTCCAAAGTTAAGAGCACTGGCTACTCTGGTAAAGGTTCAGCAGAGGATCTCTCTTCCGGCTTCTTCGGGCATTATATGCATACGGCGGACTTACAAACATGCAAGCAAAACACTCATACACATAAAATACAAATAAACAAGTCTTTAAAGACTAATTGAAAAACTAAAGCTGAAATTAGAAACAAATTGGTAGGAACATAAAACAGAGCCCCACCCTCAACCGAAAGGGTGCAACGGCTCTTCTGACCGCTAGGTGGCAATCTCAAGGCTCGCCCCCAAGCGCCCGGACGAGACGCACGCGCACTGCTCCTCGGCTTTGCTGTTGGAGCTACGCCTGCGCAGGCAGCGGGGTACGCGCCGTTTTCCCGTGCGCACTGCGCTCGTGTACGCGCCCTCGCGTGCACGCCCCGCGTCTCGCCGTCCCGTTATTCCCGGGTCTCCGCGAGCGGCAGTGCCGACCCTGCGGTCCGACATGTCCCAGCTGCCCGCAGTCAGCAGCGCCCAGCAGACGGACGCAGCGAGCGGTGACCGCGGGCTCCCGCAGGCCGAGGTAGGCGGCGGGCGGCGTGCGCTCCCGGGCCCGGCGCGACCGGAGGAGATCCGGGGAGGCCCGATGACAGCGGCCCGGGAAGGCCCCGCAGCCCCGGGAGCGGCGGCCAGGGGAGGCCGGGTGGCTGCAGCCCGAGAAGGCCGGGCGGCGGAGGCCCGGGGAGCCCCCGCGGCGGCGGCCCGTGGTGGCGCGGCGGCCCGCGAAGGCCCGATGGCGCCGGCGTCCAGGGAAGCCCGGATGGCGGAGGTGGCCCGGCTGCTGGGCGAGCCGCTGGAGGAGGAGGCGCCCGAGGGCAGGCCCCGGTCCAGGGCGGGCGGCTTGGCGGCGATGCCGTACCTGCGCCTCCGCCACCCCCTCAGCGTCTTGGGCATCAATTACCAGCAGTTCCTGCGCCACTACCTGGAGAACTACCCGATCGCCCCGGGCCGGATCCAGGAGCTGGAGGAGCGCCGGCGGCGCTTCGTGGAGGCCTGCAGAGCCCGGGAGGCAGCCTTCGACATAGAGTACCTGCGCAACCCTCAGAGGGTGGATTTTGACATTTTAACGTTTACCATAGCCCTGACTGCGTCGGAGGTGATCAATCCTCTCATAGAAGAACTGGGTTGTGATAAGTTCATCCATAGAGAGTGAGGAGGCAGGCGAGGGTGGGCACGGCATCAGGAAGACTCGGCATCCAAGACAAACCCCATCCTACAACTTGGTTTTCAGAAGTCAAAAGGATCTTGAGAATAGTCAGCGTGCATCGTTGGAGGGAGGAAAAAGGCGTCAGAAATTTGGGGGGGGGAGGAAATGTCCAAAGCATCCTTAGACTCCTGTGACGTTTCTTGAGTTTATAATTGGTTGAGCGTTCTTGTGTTAGGGAAAACATCCATCCATGTGGCTTCGTTAATGAGCAAAGGATGGTTTTGTAAAATTTTGAGACTTAAAGAAAATTGCCAGTAAAAGAGCCCACGATGAAGAAAGATCAGCGTGAGAGTTTAAACTGGTTTCAGGACCAAGTACTTGACCTTTGTGAGCACTCCTCTCATGTCCGAGTCAATGAGACTGAAGAGTTAAGACTCATTTTGTGTTTCTGAGACATAAATATTGTATATAGTATGTGATAAGTAGTGTTTTCAAACATATCAAATTTCTGGAATTTGGATTCCATTTTCCAAACGTTTTTCTTGTTTTTTTTTTTTGTAAGTCATCTATTCATAAGCACCAAGAATATGAAGACTGAAGTATTTTGTCCTTCCTTTCTTGCCCCCATACCTAATGCTGCCCCCAACGTCAGCTTCCTTCCTACTTTTATTATGTATACACATATATATATATTTTATTTCGTCACAAAGTTGACGTATTTTGGTTTACATGTTGTGATTTTATTGAGGAAATATCTTGAAGAACCTTCCCAGCCAGTATATTTACTCCTTAAAGCTGTGTTTGCATTCTGTGGCTATGCTGTGATCAACCAGAAGGATGCTGGACGCTTGGGCCGTTTCCCATCCTCTTCCCCTCTGCCGGGCATCTCCGGTGTTTATCACCCGGAGCTGCTTTGGTTCTGAACTCCTTTCTCATGTTTACCTTCTCAAGTTGGAATACGTCTTATACTTGATGGTGATAGAGACCACTTTTTTCTTATTTTTCCTTTAAGTTTCCATAAAATCGATGGTTCATCTCACTAGCTTCTTAGGCTTTTTGCTCTTGGTAATGTCTATACTCTGATTTCTAGAAGTGACTGTCCCGGGCCAAAAGGTTGCCTTTGTAACTTTACAGATACAACTGATTGATCTCTGTACACTCCCACCAGTAGTTGGTAAATGGATATTTTCTGATTGTCTCGCCAATGTGTTCAGCCATCAGACATTTAGTGATTACCAGCCTGGAAAAGGGTATATCAGTTTCAAGGATTTAACGTAAGCTATATTTTCATTTAAGAATCAAAAGGGGGCTTTCTTGGTGATAGCACACTCGCCTAGAATAACCTAATGATAGCACACTAACCCCACTGAGGGGCTGGGGTGTGGCTCAGTGGTGGAGCCCCTGCCTAGAATCCCCCAGTGAGGGGCTGGGGTGTGGCTCAGTGGTGGAGCCCCTGCCTAGAATCCTCCAGTGAGGGGCTGGGGTGTGGCTCAGTGGTGGAGCCCTTGCCTAGAATGCTAAAGTAAGTCTCTAGGCCTGGTTCCCAGCACCACAAAAATCTGACTTTTCCTCTCTCATGACTGTCCACATATTTTTTTTGTTTGTTTGGTTGGTTGGTTTTGTTGTTTTTTGAAGCAGGGTTTCTCTGTGTAGCCCTGGCTGTCCTGGAACTCACTCTGTAGTTGACTGGCCTCCAACTCTGAGATCCACCTGCCTCTGCCCTCTGCTTCCTGAATGCTGACCCTGGCGGTCCTGGAACTTGCTCACTCTGAGATCCACCTGCCTCTGCTTCCCAAATGCTGGGATTAAAGGTGTGCGTCACCACCGCCCAGCTGACTGTCCGCATTCTCTATCCATTTCTCCCCTCGATTTTTTTTTTACTGACTCTAGTTGTTGATTTGTATTAGTGGCATTAGGTATGACAATAGTTTGTGATGTGAGTTGCAGATATATTTTTCCAGTTATTTGGCTTTTCTGAAAGATTTTTATCCTTGATGTGGGTTCAGGGGATCAAACTCAGGTCACCAGGCTTGTGTGGTACCCACAGAGTCAACACAACTGCCTGGGTTGTTTACCCTGCTTTCCCTAGATTGTGCAATATTTTGAATCCCAAAGTTTCCTTAGAGTATGTGAAAGATGTCATTTTTTGGTTTTTTTTTGTTGTTGTTGTTGTTGTTTTAGGTTTTTCAAGACAGGGTTTCTCCGTAGCTTTTTGGTTCCTGTCCTGGAACTAGCTCTTGTAGACCAGGCTGGCCTCGAACTCACAGAGATCCGTCTGCCTTTGCCTCCCGAGTGCTGGGATTAAAGGCATGTGCCACCACTGCCCGGCAAAATGTCATTTTTTTCACTTGGACCATTTGGGATTTATTCAGAGGCGTAGTAGTCTGAGGGAAGGACCTACTTTTCACTTAGCAAACCAGCTCCTTAAAGAGCTCTTCAGTTTCTGATGCTGAACCCACCATGCTCTCAGAGTTCCTGCTTGTTTTGCTCATGTTTACTTTGGAGGGGGCATTGAAACGTGTCCTGGAAATGATTCTGTAGACCAGGCTGGTCTTGAACTCAGAGATTCACCTGCCTCTGCCCCTGTTTGCTGGGATTAAAGGCGTGAACCACCACATCCATTATTACTTTTATATATTACTATTATTACTACTATAGTACTATTATTTCAGACAAAACTTTTTATTGGAATCATATTTCTTATAGCCAGGGGATAACTTCTGTCTTTAAAGTACTGAGTCATATGTTTTAAAGATTTTATTTATCTTCAATATGTATGAGCTGTTGTTTGCTTTTAGGTATGTCTACCATGTATGTGCAGTGCCTCAGAAGGCCAGAAGGGGGCACTGGATCCTTTGGAAGTAAAACTATAGATGGTTATGAGTCACCGAGTGGGTGTTAGAAACCAAACCTGTGTCTTCTACAAGAGCACAAGTGCTCAACCTCTGAGCATCTCCAACCACTGACTCTTAGGGTGTGTTTTGTCATGTTTGATTTAAGACAGAATCTCACTGTTAACTCACACTGGCATGAAACTTAAGGACTCGCCTGTCTCGGTCTCCAAACTCTGGGTTACAGGTACGAGCACCCTCATCTAGCAAGGAAAGAGGCTCTTCTAGCCAGGTGGTGGCAAAGCCCTTTAATCCCAGCAGAGGACAGTGAGTCTCTGAGGCCGATTGGTCTACAGCATGAGTTTCAGGCTTCGCAGAGAAACCCTGTCTCGAAAGAAAACAAAGAGATGGAACTCTTCCTATGCAAATAAACTGTTTTTATACTTTTTACTTATTTATTTTGGTTTTTCAAGACAGTTTCTCTGTGTATCCCTGGCTGTCTCTGAACTCATTATGTAGACCAGGCTGGCTTCCAACTCAGAAATCCACCTGCCTCTGCCTCTGGAGTGCACGGATTAAAGGTGTGTGCTATTTCATAGTTTTTAAAGACTGCCTAAACCAAGTGGTGGTGGCTCATGTCTGTAATCCCAGAATGTGGAGGATGAGGCAGGAGGATCATTAGAAGTGTGGGATCAGCTTTGGCTAAATGTCCTGGCTCAAAAAAATTAGGGTTGGGGGGCTGGAGAGATGGCTCAGAGGTTAAGAGCACTGGCTGCTCTTCCAGAGGTCCTGAGTTCAATTCCCAGCAACCACATGGTGGCTCACAACCATCTGTAATGAGATCGGGCGCCCTCTTCCGGCATGCGGGCATACACGGAGGCAGAATGTTGTATACATAATTAATAAATAAATCTTTAAAAAAAAAATTAGGGTTGGGAGGCAGCACAGCCTGTAAAATGTTTGCTTTTAAAGAATGGTGACCCAGGTTTGTCCCCAAAACCCGATGGAAACCTGCATGAGGTGTCATGTGCTTGTAGTCCCAGCACTGCTGACGTAAAGGGAGGATTCCTGAGGTTCACTGAGGAGCCAGCAGCCCTGGGTCCCAGTGAGAGACCTGTCTCTGACCTCCAGGCATACACACAAATTTTTAAAAACTTCATTGTAGCCTTAAGTTGAGTATAAATGTTTATTTGGAGAGCACTAATACTGTTAAATGAATTTCCCTATTCATGGGTCTAGCCTTTTCATCTTTTGTCTGCATATATGTCTGTGTACTTGAATGCCTGGTGCTCAAGGAGACCAGGAGAGGATTCTGATCCCCTGGAGCTGGAGATACAGATGCCTGTGAGCCACCATGTGGGTGCTGGGAATCAAACCTGGGTCCTGTGGAAGAGCAGCCACTGCTATCAACCACTGAGGTTATTCCTATTATGTTTTCTGAAAGCTTCCATAGCTCTTCAAGATGATTGGTTCCTGCTCGTTCCCAGATAGCCAGTCAGTGTACTCTGATATGTGTCTCTGTGTGGTGCACACACATGGGTATGTGTGTGCATATGCATATACACAGAGGCCAGAGCAGGACGTCACGTGTTTTCTATCACTTGCCAAGACAGTCTCTCACTGAACCTGGAGCTAGGCTGGTAGCCTCCCGTCTCTACCTTCCACAGTGATAGGGCCATAGACATGTGACCATGCTCAGTTTTTTACATGGATGCTAAGATTTGCATTTCAGGCCCTTATGGGTGCACAGTGTGATGGCCAATCTTGATTGCCAACTTGATTTATCTGGAGAGAATACCTCTAGCATATTGGCCTATGGGTAAGTCTATGAGGCATTTTCTTCATTGCTGATTAATGTAGCAAGACCCAGCCCACATGGGCAGTGCCATCTCTAGGAAAAGTAGCTGACCAAGCCAGAAGAGAAAGCCACTAAACAGCACTCATCCATGGCCTCTACTTCCGTTCCTGCCTCCAGATATCTGCCTCGAGTTCCTGCCCTGACTTCCCTCCAAGATGGACTGTGACTGTAGAGGGATAAACTGAAATAAACCCTTTCTTCCCGAGTCTGTTTTGATCTGTCTTTTATCACATCAGCTAGAACACAGAGTAAGTGCTCTCACAGAGTAAGAGCCGTCTGTCTGGCCCTCTCTCATCTCTACTGGCTCCTTGACCACTACATTCTATATAATAATCACGATTCATGAAAATTCTTTCCATAGCCCCCCCTCGTGTGTGTAAGAATGGATGTTAGAAGTTGGGCAGTGGTGGCATGTCGTGGTCCAGGTACCAGCCCGGGCCATAAATTATTTCTCGGACCAGCAGAGAGGCGTGGGAATAAAGACAAAACTCACATGACTTTATCGGGAGGGAGATTTCAGGGATCCTGAAACACTTGCCTGCATTTATCCTCCAAACAGCTTTTACACCAAAACATAGACTGAGGGGGAAGTTCATTAGCATTCTGTTTCCTAGGTAACCAGGAGAATGACTGGTCAAGTCCATAAATTTCTGTGCCCATTTTGTCGTCTTCCTATCTGTGCCTGCTCTGTCACATAAACTGAATTAACACCTCTTTCCCAGGCGAACTCCCAAATTACAAAGGAGAGCAACATTAGTATATCCTGACCCTTTGTTTAGGGTGGCGTCAGTTTGTCTGGAAAGGCTAGGTAACCACCTTCTGTGTGGCCAGGCGCAAACTGTGGCCTGAGAGTCTGGCTGCCGTACACTGTAGAAATATGGGCCTGTAAGATGCCCTACAATC